AGACAAATAAGTGTGAGAGATGGTTTGAAACACGCGTGATCCAAACAAATAGTGATGAGTATTTTGGTCATTTTTTAGGAGTTTGTCCTTATGAATATAATGTTTTAGCACATGGACCTTTGAGCAAAGAAAATCCAAAAGTGAATTTATTGCCCAAGTGTCCATATTTTATAACCACAAAATGTGTAATAATATAACAAAATATGTAACATTGTCACAAAAATGTGTAACTTCATTTTTAAACTAGAAATTGTTGTAATTGTTACCAGAAAAATATGTGACTATTGGCCATGAATTCAAACCAAATAATTCGAAGATGGCACGTGGCATAATATTAAGATATAGGATCAACCAATCAAGAGAGAGCACATGGTAGACCAAAAAGGGACAAATGTTGGATTGTAAGAAGTGTCATGTGGCAGTTCGCAACTTCAATTATATATCATGAGTTGAAGAGCAAGGCTTAAGGGTGTAACCATTTCAAACAATTATAAGGAAACAACTAGAGCCTTGAAATTCAAATTCAGAATTGAAGTAGGGAAAAGCCTATGAATGTAGTTATAATGGTGGAGATCATGGATGTGAGATTCAACAGTTACTGCAAATTTGAATAACACCTATAAATAGTCGAAATAAAAGACAGAGAAAATCTTCCGAACAAATTCAACATATCAATTTCTTGTTTTTCTCTTTTCTTGCTTTACATTTACTTTTCCTATGAGTAGTTTTTAACTAAGAATTGTAATTTTCTTTTCTAGTTCTTACCTTCGAAGTTGCCAGAACAATCAAGGTAACACAAGTGTAATTGCATTATTCAATTAATCAATTACTTTATGTTTGTCTCTTCCTCCCATTCTTAACTTGATCATTACTACATTCTCTCTACTCATTACATTGGTTCAAACTTAAGCACATGCAATAAAATCCTCTTTATGGAGATAAAAAAAACTTTTTACATTCGCCTAATCATTAAATTAACTTAATTAATATTTATAAGGATTGTTTAATGGGTGGCTCTATTTGTACCTCAAAAGATTGGTTGGATACCTCAACTTAATAAATAAATAAAAAAATTACGTCCCTATTCAAAATGACCAAAAAAGTACTTGAAATTGACAAAAAGTATTAGTGTTTTGAACACCCTATCTTATAATTAATCCCAATCTTTCATTCTCTATTCTCTTTTCACTTTTTGCACTTTACATCTTCATATTCAATCCTATTTCTTTTAAAACCAACTTTCTTACGTTCCATTTCATATTAAAATCCACAACAGACAATGAAAAAAAAAAATTCAAGCTATTTTTTTTTATTACAAAAAATGTAAGTTTTTTTGTTCATTGGTCAATGGGTTTTCAAAATTTGTTTAGAAATTCAATATGAAACAAATTATATTTATCCTGAAACTTGTTTCTAAATTTTTTTAAAAATATGTTTGGTACTGTGTTTTTGAATTATTTGACATTGTTCATTATTTAATATCCGAACGAATTATTTATGTTTGACTGTGTGTTTCCGAACATTTAGGGCATCTTTGGTAACATTTATATTTATCATTTTTTGTTTATATTTGCTGTAACGCCCTCAAAATAATACATATAAACCCAACATTCATGACATCCATAGACACAAGAGAATAAAGTATATTTCCATTTATCAGAGTATTAAGTACAAAAGTATTACATGTTGACAACAAAAGTAAATATCCTACGAGCTTACAACTTTCCAAGTCAACACTTGGGTTCAACAAAAGAGAGTTCTAACTCTAAACATATTAGGCCCTTGGCCTGATTTACATGTAATACAAAATGATAACAACAAAAAGGTCTTTCAGCCTCTAAGCCTCCCAAGCTACGTCCTTGAAGGTGGCATATCACCTGTACTTGAAAATGATGTCCCATATAGGGTGAGCCAAAGCCCAGTAGAGATACGCTAAACCAAATATGAGTAATAACTAAAACATTAGCATTTGATAAATGTTTAACTCATATGAACCACCATACATCTCTTTCATAACTAATTCATATTCACAATTATATTTCACTCCCTTTCTATTTCATTACCCAAACCGATTCGTAGTTATGGTTCTCTGTTCATCCAAACAATTTAAAAATGAGACTACAACTTATATTAACAATGCTTCAATCATAATTAATTAAAATGAGACTACAACTCATTATCAACATTTCAATACTCCAATTCATCTACATTATGCAAACGTAATCAAGATTTCGGGACTTTCACCCTGGACACTCCAGCCAATTTAGTTATCAATGGAGTCCATCCCCTATCTCCTCCCAAACAGGTTTGAGAGTACATCCCCTATCTCCTCTCAAACCATGGAGTACATCCCCTATCTCCTCCCAAACAAGATACATATACAATGTATTTAAACGCTTTATCCTATGCAATGATCAATCTAGGCACATATTCAATGTGTTAGTTCAACCGTCATATTCGATGACATAGCCATTTGATTAGTTTCAGTTTTCCCTTATCAACATATAATGTTTACAACAATCAAGACTATCCTCCACCGATAACCCAAAGCAATTATTTCTAAACAGATAATAAATTCATCAACAGATAAATTATCAATAATTTCATAGGTAAGTGATCAACTAATCCAACTACACCATTCAATCTCATACTTTCCCAATTTCATGATTTTCATCTCAATTTCACATTTTCATGTTTTTCCCAAATTAATTATACAAATTAATTAATCACACTAAATTAGGGCTTTTCCCAATTTTTCTCAAATTAGCCCTAAGGCTCACTTTCATCAATTTAACAACAATAATTCCATTTTCTAAGGTCTCATATACGCATGGAGTTTAACAATTTAAACCCCCCTTTTTATAACTTCAAAACAAACCTTAGCTTTCCCAAAATTGCCAAACAACACCATCTATACAAAATACCCAACATTTATGTCAAAACTCATAGAAATGAGTAGGTTATCCCTACCTCAAGAGAAGAGACTCAAAGGAGATAAAGGTGAAAACCCAAAATGCTCCAAACACCAACTTTTTCGGATAAAAGGAGCCCACGCAAAGCTCTACCTTTCTTACAAAGGGATTAGGGTAGAAGACTCCTAGAACATGGAGTATTTGTAAAGAGAAGGTATGTAGAGAGAGAAGGAGTAGCCGGATCTAGGGTTTAAAGGTAAAAGATAAACAAAAAGTGAGGAAGAAGCTGCTGCTGCGAACTGATATAATCGATCCTCGCTCGAGCAAATGAGTGGTCGTTCGAGCGACCAGACACAAAGAAACCTCGCTCGAGCGCACAAAGCCTCACTCGAGCGAACAACACGAAGCTTCAGGTCTACAATCCAGAAGCACGCTCGAGCGAAGAAACCCAAAACATAGTCCTCGCTCGCTCGAGCCAAGAAACACAACCTTTAGGTCCAAACCAGACGCAGACGCACGGATGCACGCTCGAACGCAAGAATGCTTGCTCGAGCCAATAGACACACCACTCAAAGCTCGCTCCAGCGAAGGAATCCTGGCTCGAGCGAAGGAACTAAAACCCAGAGCTCGCTCAAGCGACAAAAACTTCGCTCGAGCAAAGACACCAAAAACTGGGCAGCAACCATTTGTTTTAAAACACACCCTACCTGTTACAAACTTGCCTAACACATCCTAAAACTCAAATACAAAGAATTGAAGGACGAAAAGAGATATATACAACAATACTCAACCACGGAACCCAAGTCCGGAATACTGTACATAAAGGGAAAAACCCGGGATCGCTATATTTACATAATTTTTGAAAATTATAAATAAAAATTCATTTGGTTTCTATTTTCATTTTCAAAAAGTTATAAATAGGCACAAAAAGGTTAGTTTCGTTTCCTTTAATTTTTTAATTTTAATTTTTTTTATTTTAATAATAATTTTAAATAAAATTGTTAGGAAAGATATTATTAATTTTAGGATACCTCACCTCACAAATAAATCTACACACTCACTACATCATAAATTAGGGTTTACCCCATCACCACTCATCTATCTTCCCCAAATCCCACCTTCAAAACGTACCAACCCTCAAAACATTGAAAATCCTTTGGCGGCAATATTCCGGCAGTAACGGTGACAACCATTTGATTACCCACACTTCTCCGACAATGACAATGAGTAAAAGTTTTTATGGTAATCACAACTCTATAAGATGACAGGAGTACAACAATAAAAGCTTAGAGGAGGTTCATAACTTTGATGTTATTCTTAACTCAGAGGAGATTGACCTTGTAAGGGTAAGTTTCTTGAAAAAAAATAGAAAAAAAAGTAAAACCTATTCGTCATTTTTTCAGGATTAAACTCTCAAACATATGACCGAAATTCGAGCACAAAGGCCCGAACAATGTTTATTTGTTCGGGAACTGGTAACCGAACATTTATTATTTGTTCGGAAACAGGTAACCGAACATAATTCATAAGTGTAGACCTGTTTTACTGAGAAAACTAAATCAATTATTATAATTTTTTCTGTAAGAGAATAAATTATTATGAGAAAATTAAGAAAATATTATTATTATTATTATATATATATATACATATAAAGAGAGAGAGAGAGAGAGAGAGAGAGAGAGAGAACATAGCAATTGTGACAATGGTGGATGAGAACTATTAAGGGGTTATTTGGAATAATCTAAATAAGTGTACTTTTTTATTTTTTAAGAAATATGGATTGGATTTGAAGTGATATGGTAGAAAGGAGATATGATTTAAATAAGATAATGTAACTTAAATAGGATAGTGACTTTTTAATTTTTTTTATGTTAGGCCAAACTTAACTTAAATATTATATTTGTAAACAAATTACATATGTTCAATTTATTTTTTTTTACATAATTTTAATTTTAATGTTATCCACATCCGTTTTTGTCTTTTCCCCTTATTCGCCGTCTCGCCCTATCCACGGCCTCCCCGGCACCACCGCCTCAGCCACGCCCTCACTCGACACTGTCGCTCCACCTCATGTGGTACTCTCGTCTCTCTCTCTCTCTGTCTCTGTCTCTCTCTCTCTCTCCTTTGTTGATTTGTGTTGCTTTCTTCTTGCAACTGTATATGTATATGATCCTTTGAATCCCCAATCCTCCAAATCCAAGGCTGGTCGCTGATATGTGTTAGGGCAAATTTGATCCTGCAAGTCTCAGGTTTCTAATTGTTAGATTTCTTGAAGTTCAGGATTTCTTGCTCTTCCTTTGATTTTTTGTTACTTATTATCATTTTTAATAGCACACAGCTCACCCCTACTGCTTTCTACTTGCTTCTAAGAGTTGTGTGACCTCTCCACTTGATTTTCTTCTGAGTTGGATGTTTGTTGGTTTTCAATTTGATGTTCATAGAATTTGTTTTTCTGTCTTTGTTTGGATGAATTTTGCAATTGTTGTTATTTTCTCTTTTCCTTCTACATTTTCCCATATTTAAATTATAGTTTCCTTCTATTCTATTGTTCCTCTTGATTTTCTATTAAGTTAATGTTGTTGTTGTTGTTGCTGTTTTTTTTTTTTTTTTTTTTTTTTTTAAGATTGAGAACAAAACTGTAGAGGACCACAAAACAGAACAGAAATATTGGAGTTTGTTTTCTCCTGCGTTTCAGGTAAAAAAATTCTCTATGGTTTAGGGTTTCTATTGGCTGCATCTTGCTTTGAACAAATCTCATATATATATATATATATAGACAGAGTGGATTTGGGTTATTTCTTTGTGGGTCATGCATGAGAGAGACGGAATGGTGGTGACTACGGCTAGTGGGTATTGTGCATTTGGTTAAAATAATTTTTTGGTTCTTAGAAGCTGCAAGTATATATGTAATTAGTTCAAGCCCACCAAGAAATTGACATTTTTTTTGGAGTAATTACTCATATTGTGTAAAATTATGTTGAAGCATTTGCAAAGACTGCTTTCTGTTTACAAGTTCACAGTTCCCTACAGCTGCACTGTCTTTAGGTTTTTATATCAACCATAGCTAAAGATCTGAAAAAGGCAGTTTGTGTATATTTTAGGAATTTTGAGGGGCAAGGGAGATGTCCAGGTTTCGTGCACTGTGGCAAGCTTCTCTTAATGCAACAAAGAGAGGTATGCCATCTCAACTTTTAAGATGATGGGTGTCTATGTTTATGCATGTTGAGTTTGCAGAACTGCTTTCTTGTTGTTAAGTTGATCTCTATCTGTCTGTTTGATATGTTTATTGGTTCTTTTGATTTTTATTTATTTATTTTTCAGTGTTTTTTTTTAAAAAATAAAAAAATAAAAAATTGCTGTGTAATTAAAATTATTGTATGTTGTATTGCTGCATTTAACTGGAATTCATGTCAATGCATTGATGTTGGAAATCGTACACCACATTTCTGATAAGTAGGCTATTTCTGAAGTTTGACGCAATTAGTTCTATGAAGAAATGAAATTTTGTGAGCTGTTAAAGAAGTGTTTCCCTTTCTTTTTCTTGATGTCAAAAAATATGTCTCGTATGATATCACAAATCAGGAGTAGAGACACTAAGCTTCGCAAGTTTATCAATCATTGATTAATTTGTGAAATAGGTAGTTGTAGATTTCATCACCGACCTATTTAATAAAATATTTTTATGAAATTTCACTCACAAATATTTGAATAAAAAACTAGGCTTTGCATTTTGGAAATTTATGTAGTTAATAATTGTTTCAGGGAAATCACTTATTTGAGAAGTAAAGCAAGTGAGTTCCTTTTTAATATTCCATATCATTTAAACGAGATGTCAATGATTGGTGCTATCAAATTTTTCTGGTTAATTATATTGCCATAAAAATTGCCCTTGATCAACTTTGTCAAGACTTGTATTTAAGACTGAAAGATTACATGTGAAACTCCTTTTGAGGTGGTGCTTAGTGAAAAAAAGGATTCTTTTTAAAGTTTCAACCTAAGCAACACTGACACTTCTAAGAAGGTAACGTGCCGTGTCCAACACCATGCCGGACACTGACACAACACGACATGACATTTATTTGAAACTTCCCAACACTTAGACACACATGAATGACATTACAAGTTTGAATGGAATAACTTGGAATCAAATGACAAAAAGAAAGTAATGTAAATTTATAACCAATCTCCTCCTTAACAAGACTTAAAAAATTATTATCTTTTATTTAAATATTCATATATATGATATATAATAATTATTATATATTTATTATATCTTTCGCATGTGACCCCACGTGTCAAGCGTACATTTTTTGAAAATTTATGTGTTAGTGTGTCCGTGTCGTATCATGTGTCCGTATCTGTGTCTGTGCTTCTTAGGTTTCAACTTTCAAGCAGAAGTTCCTTCTATATTAACGTGCCATCTGGTATTAACAAGATGACTTGAGAGAGAATTGGGGTTGTAAGTTGTAAGTTAACATCTCCAACCCATACAAGGTGGTGTTTTGGGAAGTTGGTAAAAAGCTAGTTTTTTTGCTTTTTTAGTCTATTTTGTATGTGAGAGGTGATGTGACTCAAAATGGCTAAAAAGTTAAAAGCTGGCCTTTTTTTTTTTTGCTTCCCAAAAGACCCCAAGGTTAGAACGAGAAATCCAAACTTGGATAGCTTTTCAGAAGCAAACAGAATAAATAAGCACTAATTATTGGTTATAGTCGTCGAGTTGTTAATGTTTATGAAGTTGGACTTCATAAACATTGCATTGGAGAGTTCTAACTACAACAAAGAGCTGAAGGAAGCCGCCCATGAGTCTTTCCTGAGAGTGTCGTGCTTGGTGTTGGTTGCAGGCTAGTAGTCTCATTTTTGCATTAAACATGGTATGGCCATTTTATCACTGGCTACAATTGAGCAATAGAAGACATTTCCCAGTGGATACAATGCTTGTTGGAATTTCATAGAATGAAAGGGTCCCTCAAAAAGCACAAAGACATCTAACAACGGTTAGTTCTCAAGATGAGATTTTGCCCCTACATCTGATTATCCACATTCTTGAAAGGTATATATATGTTCTGGGCTGGATATATTGAAACCAAACATCGATTGCCATATGATTTAAGTCTGAAAGTAAACTATTTGACTTTATTTCTTATTGTTATAAATATCTTCTTCTCTTTTTTGGAACATGGAGTATGGTGAAACTTTTCTAGGATCTTATAACTCATTTTATTGTTCTAAAATACCCAGATGAGGATTTGTATTATCTGAAGTTTGTTCACCTCTGCATCTCTTGAAGACATATCCTTTTGTGAGCATTATGATATGTGATGCCTTTTCCTTGTGTTTGTGCTTTTATGGATGACCTTCAGTCTGCCCTTCTTTTTCTGTTGTTAACTTGTAGCTCTCACATGGAATTTGGAAGACTTGATTCCTCCGAGCGAAAGATATATTTTCAATTTCAATTCAAAAGAAGAGCTAAAAAAGTGGCATCTGTATTCAGATTCTGAATATGGAGGTGTGTCTTGCTAAACTTTGATGCCTCTATTACATAAATCATTCATGATTGAGATATTGTACAACATACACATCCAACCAACCAAAGGTTGTGGAGGAATCTATAACTCACTTTATTTCGTTTGTTGATTCCTTTTCTTTTATAGTGGTTGTTGTATTAATTATGTACATGAGTAATATCATTCAATCTTATCCCAGATTTACTACACACTCTTTAAGTAGAAAAATTCTTGTTCGTTTTCTCAAGAAAGTATCTTGATTTACTAAACTGCATGGTTTTTTTTTTTTACCCGGTTAATTTTTTAATTTTCCTGCATGAAGGCAATTCATGTATAGTTAGATGTTGTGCAGTAATTGATTCTAAAGATTATTCAAAGTGGAGACTCCTTTTACTATCATTGATCGGTCACTCTTCAGGTTTGTCCTCGGCGTCTTTGGAGATCAGAGATGCTGGAACTGAATTAAGAGGTAACTCTCAGTGGATATTACTCAATATGTCAAAGCACAGGTATCTAGAAATTAGAAAATATAGTTATTATCTTGCGACATTCCAAGGGGAATGTAAAATATCTATGTATGAGCATGAAACTAAATTCCTTTTGGAAAATTTCCAGGAGAACATTAGTTTATACCTTTTTATAGTGCTTCCCACTCTTTAATCCAAATTGAGGTTCTAAGCTTTTATTAAATGCAGATGGCATCTAGTTTTTTTTTCTTTGATCAGAAAACTCAACCTACTATCTGATGGTTGAGGAATCCCAGTTTAATCCATGCTAGAAATGGTTGAAATTAAAGTTAGAGTGAGTCAAGATAAAAATCTTGTTTACATGACTTTGGTGAACTGGTGGTTATTTCCTTCCTTCCTTTCCTTCCTTGTCTTTTATAGGAATAACCCTGGGTCTTCAACTATGCTACAATGGACTTTGGTATGGGTGTCGGATATGCAAGCTAGACAAAAAAGGGGTCGTATTTTTACTATGTGAGATGAAATGGTGTTATACGTAACATACACTGTTTAAAAGGCATTTTACTCATTTTACAACAATTATACAATAATATATACATATATAACGATGGTGTTAAACACAAATATAACAAGTGTCCGATGGAATGTACCAGACACATATGTCACACCCTTGTCCAAGTGTTGAGTGTATGACATGGGTATTTGATTTATTTTGATGAGTCCATGTAACATAGGTCTTCAACTAATTTGAAACTTCCTATAGCATTCTACGTATTTATATTGAGCTGTGATCAGGTTGCTACAAATCATGATATTTTTCTTATATGTAGGGCTTCATTTGTGTGCGCAACCTCTTACTCAATTATGTTTGAGAGGGGTACACTGGATATTGACTTGACCTTTGTCATAATACGCACAAAGTGTCTGCTGTCATAATTGATCCCATCCTTGTGCTTGGTAGTATTAGCATTTAACCACTGCACCAAACATTGGCCCCTACATTGTTTGGTTGTTTTCATTTTTTAATTTAAATCATATCCATGCAAGATATGTGGTTTTGGTTTTACTTTCTACTTATGCTAGTGCCATTTGGGTTCGGCATCTCTCATACAACATGGTGCAGCAAAAGCCTGTCTGATTTTAATATGGTTGCAGCAAATCAGCTGCCAAACTAACTTCTCCATGACTCACCTGCAAAATCAGAAGCTTACAAACTGCAATGTGCACTTTAAGCTTTGCATGATTCCCTAAATTTTTGTTCTTTACAACATTTGAACCTTGTGTTGACTTCTGAACTTTGATTGGTCTTGATGTTTTTGATTAGGGGTTTTCTCTGGAAAACTTTCTCTGGATGTAGCTGAGGATTCAAAATGGAACATTTCTCGGAGTGGCTTTTGTGGTATGCGCTCTAAGAAGGTGATGTGATTGCCATCATTCTTAGGGATCAACTGTAAACAATTATAAATTTCTATTGCAGTTCTATTCCTGTTTGCATTTTCAACTATGTTCTGGAGTAGTGTTACCAGAAAATATTAGTACCCTAGAAAATTACGTTTTGGAACGCATGTTCGAAAACAGGGTACACTTTTGTTCCAAAACAGTAAATTTAGCTATCCAAATCAATCCCAAAAGTTTTTCCAATATATTTACTTAAGGTTTCCGTATAAGTAAAAAAATAAAATGTAATGAACTAAAATGGGTTAATGATATTACATAGACCTCCCTTGAGGTTTTTGACAGTTACAGAGACTTCCCCTAAGGTTTTTAAAATTACACTGACCTCCCTTACTTTACTGACAATATACGTGAACCTCCCCTCTGTTAAATGGTTGTTAGAGGTGCTAACAGAATATTCTAACATCGGCACATTTGAGCCTCTAAATGCCAATACTATCCTTTTTTCACCACTGCAAATAACAAACACCTTTTCTTATCCCTAACACCAAACACGCATTATCACTGACCATCACAACCAAACACCACCTTCTCTCTCTCTCTCTCTCTCTAAAGTGCTGCACCATTACTTCCAATCCCACCCAAATCAAACACTCACTTTGAAAACATCTTTAAATTCTTTTTTTTCTTTTATTCTTGTGGGTAGAAATCTTTGAATTCATTTATAGATATATAATCTGGTGGGATATACACGATCTTTTGCATTTCATATTTCTTATGTGTGTATATATATTGTCTATATATATGAATGCAAGATATACATATATATATATATATATGTATGAACCTAATGATGGTGCTTAACCAGAATTAAGGAAACATTTCTATGCTTGTGATATCTATGTGCGTCTCTAGGATACTCTGGACAAGTGGCAATGAGCCAGCGTATGGGATGGGGGTTGGGGAGTGAGATGGCGATTCTACTATGGTAGGCACTAGGCACACAGATTGAATGTTGGAAGGGGTTTAATCAGGTTAGCGGTTGGCTGTTGTCATTTATCACACAACCTATGATTTCCTTAGAATTTGAATGGTTCTGTCTCGCCAACCACTCTCTTGGGAGCTGTGACATCTAAATTTTTCTCCTGTTGTTTTAAGCACAATAAAAGATTGGCTTTTTATCTGGGAGAATTTCCCCCTCCCTATGGTATGCAAGTTAAATGACTCAAATTCATGTCATGTATTAATTCATTTGCCTGATTTTAAGAAAATTAAATCATTTTTTATTTTATCAACAATTTTTTAATGGCTCCTTTCCTTAATGACTATATTTCATACTCCAAACATTGCGTAGCATTAAATGGAATGATTTAATTTACATACATGCAATGCAGAGCATCCCTCCTCCGCTCTGCTACCACAGTTTCTCTTTACTAATCTGTGTTGTCTGCAGTTTGATGGCTTCATTGATTTGGATGCATATGACACCGTAGCACTAAAAGTCAAAGGAGATGGAAGATGCTATATTTCTACTGTGAGCTTTCTTCGTTGAGAATGGACTATTGAGAGGCTTGTATATCTAGTGCTCTATCTAGGGTTAATAGTTGATATTAGACTCTTCAATTTGTACTGAACTTTTAGCATACTGTGATGCAGATTTATACGGAAAATTGGGTCAATTCGCCTGGGCAGGAGGAGGATAATTCCTGGCAAGCTTTTGTTTTTGTGCCTAGGGACAACTGGTATATTGCTAAGGCAAGTTCCGCACCCTTTCGTATAGCTGGAGATTACTAAGACAGTTTAGAGACCAACTAGAAAAAGCTAAGAAAGGAAAAAAGGTGACAAAATTGTAGTAATTTACCTGGAAAGATGTACAACAGAAAACAGTGACATTATTGATATTATAAACAAAAAACTGTTATTAATAACACCATAATTTGAATCTGCTTATGATAAAGCTACTTATTGTGGAGCTTAGATTATGCATCTTTTGTTGAATAGGAATGACCGTTTTGCTTGATAATTGAAATTCCTCAATTTGTAGACCGTGGTAGGATTTGTTTATATGGTAAAATGAGCCAACCTGCCAGTTTTTGCTTGTATATAGGAAATCAAGTGTTATTTGATGTATAAGACTACTGGGAATTTTAGTTTTTGTTATGTCCATTTGCACACTTGAAACATGTTCTATTGTGGCTTAGGTGGGGTTTGACAGTTGCTTATTATTATTATTATTATTATTATTATTACAGAATCTAAAAAAGCTTATGCATTTGGTAATTGCTAGAAATAATTTTTGGGGCTCTTTTTAAACTTGCTTTTTGGTGAAAAATTCCCATATTACGCTTGTATAATTGTTGGGCCTTTGTAGGGACGCAATGGAATTTCTGAAGTATTGAGGGTAAAATCCTCTGTTCACAAATTTGATAAATATTAAAGAAGTCATTCCAAATAGGCTCATTTGCTTTTGGCTTTTTTAGCAAAAAGAAAGAGCTTATTTAGGAGATCCCATACAGAGGCTTAAGTTGCCCTGTTCTGCAATTGGAATTTCAGACTCATAATCCTATGTAATGTCGGTAAGAAAAAAATATCATAGACAGAGGAATACTTTTCCATCATTTTGGGAAGTAGGGAGTCTGTGATCGTGAATTGTCATGTTGAAAATGCTAAATATGAAATATGTTTTTCTTATCTTTTGGCATCTGCTGTTTGTCGAATATCCATTTAAAATAGTTTTTTATGTAACTGTTGCTTGATTTGCTTGCTAGCAACATGGTTGACTTGCCCTAGTAGATCTGAGATAGGCACGTAATGCTTCTTTGCATGGGAAAAAAAAAAAAACATGTAAATTAACTACAAATTGGTTGTGCTTTGGAAACAACGTGGCTTTACAGATTCCGCTTGCTCGATATCTGCCAACATGGAGAGGGAACATTATAGACGTAGACTTGGAAATGAATCCATCTCGAATTGTTGGCATGTCTCTATCTGTCAATGCAGAAGGTGGAGTCCCAGGTGCTAGGTCTGGCCCAGGTGATTTTCAAGTGGAAATCGATTGGATTAAAGCCTTGAGGACAATACAGTGAGTTGTAAAATGCTTTGTTGTACATTGTTCATTTCAAACATGTTACATTTAAAAGTTATTGACTCAAAAAAAAAAAACAAAAACGTTTTTGGTTAATGTGCTAACTGAAATCCCGAATCCATGGAGTTGCTTTTTGGTTTCCTGTATTTTCTCTGAACTTTCTCATTAATTTGGAGTATCTTTTAACTTGACTTTGTGGATATTGATTCTTGTTGCACTCCCAACTTGCAAAACACTCTCTTCTGCCCATGTACCGCTTTCATCTTTGTAATAGCAACATTCCATCGTTCACTTTCTCTGATTCAATTTCTCATTGTCCTAGTTTATGACTCTGTTTCAATCTTAGATTTGTGGGCGTATTTGGTTATGTTTTTGTTTTAGTTTTTTTGTTGTTTGTTTGTGTGTATTTTTAAAAACTAAAAACAAATAGAAAATTTGAACATATACATCATTTTTCATTTTTGTGTAAAATATTTTTCAAAATAACTTTTTGGTTTTCATCATAATGTGTTGTTCTCAAAAATATTTCTTAAAAACTGTTTTTGAAAGGTTACGACAACTTATACAATCGGTAGTAGTAGAATATGGAAGGATTTTTCTTTTTCTTTTTCTTTTTTTTTTTAGAACAGTAGTATATAAAAGGTTATGATAACTTGTGGCCATTATGTGATTTGTAAAAATTTGGATTTGACTTGTTTGGTGAATCAATTTTCTAATTGATTGTGATAGAACCACCAAAGTTATGACTATTTGTGGTCATTGTTACTTGTGTTGTGAATAAAAAAAGTTATGATATTCCGTGGGTTATGACTCTGACTCCGAATAAGTCAAGTTTTGTGGTTATGAGTATGGTTATCAAAATCCTTATTTGAATGCTAGGATCTTACGAGTTGGACTAAATAATTTGGATTATAATAAGATTTTAAAATAACTACAATCTCGATTATAAAATCATGTAAAATTGTACTTTGATTTCAATTCTGGTATGATTTCGATTTTACTAATTGTTTTTTTCTTTTTATTTATTTCTTATATGTGTGTATGCATATATTTATATTAAAAAAATTGACTATAAACTCCATTTTTATCCATAATCTCTAATTTATGGTAACATAGAAGATGTATTAGCGGTTCACACATGTGATGTATATGTAATTTAAATAAGGGTAAATTACTAATAGGCCTTACTTTTAAAATTTATTACCCATTAAATCTTAATAAATTTATCAGTTTCTCTTGTTTTTATGAATAAATTTATAGTGATAAATTTATCAGTCAAAACTTGTAGATAAATAAATTTAGTTAATAAGACTTATTGGTAAGTGCTCCTTCAAATAAATGATAAAAGAAAATTAAATAATATTAAAATATGTATATTGCTCAAATGGTAAGATTTTTATTTCTTAAACTTTAAGGTTTCTAAGATGGTGCATATATATATATATATTGTTATAAATATAGAAATAAGGACACATCTCAAAACGAGAAGACTTAGACGTCAAGTTTAACCTTCATTTCATATAATAATATAAATATAACTATAAATAGTATAAATTATATTAATTTTTTTTTATAAATAATTTTGAAATTATGCAACATATATTATTATCATCAATCTATCTACCAACTTTTCAATTTTGTGGTGCTTTGTGAGGGCACATGTAGTTATGTAATGCTGGTAGGCTCAAATATGAAAGGGCAAATTACAAACACCTCTCTCGAGATTTGGTAAAAATATAGATTCTCTTTGAGGTTTGAGAAATTACAAATTGTCCCCTGAAGGTCAAATTTTCATAACAAATTAGGAGAAATTAAGGGGGAATCTGTATGAAAATAAAAACCTCAGGGGGCAATTTGTTATGGAAATATAAACTTCAGAGAGCGGGATGTAATTTCTCAAACCTCAGGGGGGAATCTGTATTTTAACCAAATCTCGAGGGGGTATTTGTAATTTGCCCAATATGAAATTTAGAAATAAAAGGAAATTTCTGTGATACAAAATTGATTTGTTTATTCACTAAATTAAATATTCAATTTTTTTTAAAAAAATAGTAAAATTTTTAATTTGAATGTTTAAACAGTGAAATTCACACACATAATAGTGATTTTATATTCATTGGACTTCGGATTGATTATGGGTGCTTTGAACTTGATTCATTAATCTTAGAAAATTATTATAAAATTATCATTTTACTATTAAACAGTCAATCTATTTCATAAGCTTATTATCAATCATTACTGCGTCAATTGAGTGCATCATTTATAAGATTGCACATGTTGGAAAGATTTACACAAAACACCTATGTGACAAAGCAAATAGTTGAAACAACAATGATAGAAAGGTTTAATTTTAGAGTTCTAAAAAAAGTTCTAGTGATGTGGAAAGAGAAAGAAAAAAAAAAAAAAAACATAGACACACACATTATATCCACAAACTTTCTTTACACTATGTTTAGTTGGGGGATTTGGAAAGGAATTTGGAAAGCGAAAGGGAAAAGATGTATGAAACTGAGTAAAATTTAGATGTATTTTATTCACATTTCACCTATCTTTTTTATTTCTTTTTCCAAATTCCTCCTCATCCTCCAACCAAATACAGCATTAGAGTTCCAAAATTAGAAGTCTGCTCAAAATGATGTTTTACCTTTTTTCACCATATATGGGGCCCACTAGCACTATATGATCTCATAATTATGTTTTCCTATGCTTTTTTGTTTTCTAAGATTTGTAATCGTGGAATCTATTATTTACATGCCCCCATCACATTAGTCCCTTATTTTACACTGAATATACATTATATTTTATGTCCTCGATTCAAGTCACACGTGAAATTTTATTTGAATACATATTATTTGAGCAATGATTAGAAAATAGAAAGATTATATGAGCAAATTATATTTGATTTTGATTCCTTCATTTCAAATAAAACACTCATTAACTTATTATTTTTTTTAAAAAGGGTTAATTACACCAACGGTCCCTATAGTTTAAAGTTTGTGTCACTTTGGTCCCTGACTTTTCAATTGTGACACATTTGACCCTAAATTTTGAATGTTGTTCCAAATAAGGACAATTGAAGATACTATTGGATTTTTCAAGGGCAAATTTGTCAATTTGATAAAATATAAATTAATTTGACAAAAATAAATGTCAAAAAATTATTTTTGAATTTTTTAAAATTATTTCTACCTACTAAAGATAAAATTATATAAAATTGATAAATCATTTAGACATTTATTTATTTTTTTACCAAATTAATTTTTATTATGTATTTAGATGATGATCATGTAAAATTAATTTTTAAAAATTAATCATGTAATTTTTATTAATTTTTATCAATTTTACATAATTTTATCTTTGGTGGGTAGAAATAATTTTTTAAAATTTTAAAATATTTTTTTGACATTTATTTTTGTCAAATTAGTTTATATTTTATCAAATTGATGATTTTACCCTTGAAATTAAGCAATGGTATGTTCAATTATCCTTATTTGAAATAAGATTCAAAATTCAAGATCAAATATGTCGCAATTGAAAAGTCAAAGATTAAAGTGACACGAGCCCCAAACTATAGGGACTATTAGTGTAATTTGCCCTTTAAAAAAAAAGAAAGTATACTATGCGCATTCTCTATTCTATGTAGTAAATGTTACGAATATTTGTAGTGTATTATGTTATTTTTTGGTAAAAATTAAACATGACAAATATATGATGTGTGCCATTGAATGAAAGTCCGTACAACTCGAATAAGTCTTTCGAAACAAGTTTATTCCATGTGGTTTGTGGCTCCATGAATTTTGCTAGTAAGGAAAATCGAGCCTAAGGTTTAGAGTGAGCAAACTCCCAAATCTCAAGTCCCATCCACCAGGTTAAACCTTTAGAATTCTCTTAAATGAAAATTACAAATTATTGTAGTATATTATCAATTATGTGGTATAAATATTATGAATCATTTGTGATGAAAAATGTAATAAATCATTATGGTAAAAAAGTTAAGGTTTGTGGTATTTGTTTACAGAAGTTATATCCTATATGTTGTAATACCCTAAAACCAAAATTTCAGTCACAATGGTTATATGTCAATCAATTTGGGTCATTATCAAAATCAAATTGGATAATAACAAAAATATCACAAAAGTCTCAAAATCAACCACAAAATTTCACAACCAAGTTCACTACAAATTTGACCATCACAAAACTTCATAATTAAGCAATATATTATTTATAATCGACACCACAAATCTTCGTAACGAAAGTGCAACTGTGTACCATAAAACTTTTTTTCTTTTAATTTTTCTGTGAAATATTCTATATAAAATTTGAGTTTGTAAATAATTTTCCAAAACATTTGTTTAGTGATTAATTTAAAGTATCACATAAACATTATCTTTCTAGACAAAATGTGATCAATATATTTGTAATTAGTATAATATTATGAAAAAAAGGGTGGTACTGAAACCAGAATCAAATTAGTCCTCTGCTGGAACAAGTCATCTATGCCATTCACATCATACCATAACATGCTTTTGAAACATTTTTTTGAACGGGACTGATCTAATCTAATAATTGATTGACCATGGGTTGGTCTTTGTAGATTCAATTGATTTGATACACGTCATTTTGCACAAATATTATATTCTATTTTCTTGTTTAAATTTAAATTAGCCGACAAAAAAAGTTGTTGAATGAATACTATGCTTTGACATGCAGTTTTAAGGAAAAATTTCAGTAAATTATATTTTATATTTTTTTATTGAATCTCACTTTGTTCGCTAATCTTTTAATTATCTATATTTTGAGTCAAGTTACAATTAAGTCTAATTAAATAATGCCTTTTGAAAAATTGAAAGAAAAACAAAAATGTAGGGACTAAAATTAGATTTTAATAAAAGTATATGAGTGCTAAAGATTAAAATGAAATTTTGATAAAAAGTGTAAGGGCGCTAAGTGTAATTAATATTATCACATAGCTGTTCTCCGTTAATTTTTAAAACAATGTTATACAAATGTATCGAATTACTGCTTGACTCAAACTCTAAGGCTGTGTGTTTGGTTCAAAGATTTGGAGAAATATTTGGAAATGGAAAAAGAAAAAATAGGTGAAATGTAAATAAAATATATCAATATTTCACCTAATTTTACACATATTTTTCCTTTTTGTTTCAAAATCTCTCTTCAAATTCATGACCCAAACATAGTCTAAGAGGTTGATTGATATAATTAAAAAGTTAGAGAATAAAATGAAATTAGATGTAAAGTGGATGAGTGTATGAGTGTAAAGTATAATTTGCCCTAAAACGAGGGTT